CTCAGCAATAGAACACTTGCTGAACTTGTATGAGGCCCTGGGTTCTAGTGCAAACACACACACACACACACACACACAAATTAAAGGAACTTGAGCATAATAATGCTCAAACAATGTCTACCACTCCGATCCCTCCATTTCCTCTGTGTTAAACTGTTAGACTGAAATGAGAACCCAGCCAACTGCAGGACTCCTGTGAGTTAGGAGAGATAACACGAGGAACAGCTAAGGACTTTTAATGGGGCAAGCTGTTAGGTTTAGCATCGCCATGGCTGGCTGACAACTTTGCAAAGAATTAGAACAGAACAGTAATCTCCCTTCCATGACTCAGAAGAGCCTTAGAAGAATCTTAGGATCATGATCACGAATGTGGAGTGGTTTTGTAGAAAAAGAAATAGCACCCTGGCTGTCTGTATTGTTTGGTATTCGAGGTTCAAATTCAATAGTGCGTGCTGGCTATGTTAAACCACGCAGGAACTCGTTGATTTCATACTCTAAGCCCCATATTTTACAGACGGAGCCACTGAGCCACAGAGAAATGAGGTGGGCTGCGTAGAATCCCATGCTCATTAGCGGCTTATGCAGGAAGGAAATCCCCGCTCCTGACTCCCTGTCAGCTTTCATCATCAGTTTAAGCATAACTCAGAAAGTCGAGCATGAGGTCAGGATGCCCTGATGAATGCGGTGGCCCTGTTTGAACATGGAATTGAAGAAATCATGAGAATTTAAGAGTCTGGGTGTATCACTGAAGGGTGTGTGTGAGCCCATGAACTTGACTGGACCTCTTTAGGAAAGAAGGGAGTGAGAGTCTGAGTGATTTTTCTCATTCATAGCAATTCAGTCCCTCCATACAAAATGCTTGCCATGATGAATGCTAGTCATAGTTAAATGGTTCTCACGGAACACTGGTATACAGAGGGAAATATCGTAAGAATCTCTCTCTCTCTCTCTCTCTCTCTCTCTCTCTCTCTCTCTCTCTCTCTCTCTGTGTGTGTGTGTGTGTGTGTGTGTGTGTGTCTACCCTCCCTCTCTTTCCCTCCCTTCCCTTTCTTCCCTCTCTCCTTCCTAATCATTAACATATATATTCTTTCTTTGTGGAGTCAAATTGCCAGAACTGACTAGGAAACAAATCCTCCTCCACAGCCCTCCCTTCTCAAGCAGCCTTGGACCCACCCACAGCTGGGAGTTGGGCAGAGAGTCAAGAGCAAGTGTCGCTGAGCAGCCTGTGAAAACAGCTCTTTCTTCCCAGACACATTCAAAGTCCCACCTGCCCCTCCCTCCTCTTCCTAGCCATAAATCTGTCTCCCTGAGATCTGCAGAATTTTTTTTTCTATCTTCAATCTGCTGATAACTTGCCTGGGCCAAGGATCTCAGTGTTGGGTGGGAAGGAGTCGGTTTCCTCCGTCTTTTTAAACGCCAGTCTTAATTCTGCGTGTGGATGGAAAGTGCCTGGGTAAGAAAACAGAATCTGGAATCAGACTGCTGGGATTCAGATCGCAGCTCTACTTGTTGCTCTCACCGTACAAGCGTGGGGTGCATCCCTTAGATGCATCAGGTCTCCATCTTCTAGCTTGTGCCTCCGCCTCAAATGTTAGATGAGCATGCAGGTACATGAGCGGATGCTCCTGAAGTGCTTTGGACAGCACTAAGTGCACAGAAATACTTCATAAATGACTGTATAGTCAAATTATCTCCATCATGTCAAAGTTACCTCCAGGTACCAGTTCTATCCCATCGGATACCTACCTCAACATAGGGGCTTCAGAGCCCTTGAAGGAAGTATGCTCATTATTCTCGGTTAAAATTCCAAAGCACGGACTGGAGAGTTGGCCCAGTGGTTAAGAGCACTGACTGCTCTTCCAGAAGTCCTGAGTTCAATTCCCAGCAACCACATGGTGGCTCACAACTATCTGTCATGGGATCTGATGCCCTCTTCTGTTGTGTCTGAAGTGAGCTACAGTGCACTCACATATATAAAATAAATAAATTTGCCGGGCGGTGGTGGCGCACGCCTTTAATCCCAGCACTTGGGAGGCAGAGACAGGCGGATTTCTGAGTTCGAGGCCGGCCTGGTCTACAGAGTAAGTTCCAGGACAGCCAGGGCTGCACAGAAAAACTCTGTCTCAAAAAAAAAAAAAAAAAAAAAAAAACAAACAAAAAAAAATTCCAAAGTACACGCTATGCCCCAGCCTTTTTATATCGTTGAATTAAAAGGAGAAATAGCAGAGGGATTTGACATGCAACATCACAATGTAGCAGGCCTCTCTCTCTGGCTCAGTGAGCTGTCCACCTTCTCCTTATGCTAATCGAAGTGCAGTCAAGCTGAGAGATTTACTGAGTGTCCTGGAGCAGGTAGCTTGCAGCGTCAGGGTCATTGTTGTTTAGCTGCCAAGTGCTCTCTGTAACCTGCCGTCCGGCTGTACACGTGCCCAGTGCCTCCTTGTGGGCTCCTGGTAAGGGGGTTTCCACATCGCTGTGGCCTTGGTTGCTTCAAGGCTGAGCTGTGGGAGAGATTAATGGGAAGCGAGAAGAGAAACTGTTATTCTTACCCAGCAGTGTTGTTGGGAGCATATGACTCTTCTTGTATTTAGGGAAAAGATTACTCATGAGGATTTTCTTCCATCGAACATAAAGAACCTCAAATTACTGTTTGTGTCCCCCGCCCCCTTCTCACCCACCTCTCTGTTTTAGTTTGTCCTCGGTAGAAACGTCAGCGTTTAACTTTCATTTCCCCTCCTAGGCAGGCTTCAGTTCTGTATTTACTTTGACACCTCAACATGCTGCCCCAGACCATTTTCCTGCACTGCCTAGAAGCTCTCTGCTCAAGCTCTCTGGCCACTAGGTGCTTTCCTGTGGCCAGCCTGATTGGAACCTCCACCCATCCCTGAGAGAATTATCCTCCCACTTACCCAGTAACTTCTTAAATCACAGATTGGCGTGCTGATCTTGTTCCAAGTGTACACTCTCGAGAGTAAGAAATAAAGTAGAAGGTTTTCCCAAGCTAGCCTGCCGCTATTCTTTTTGTGACCATAAACCATTTTGAATGGCCATTGCCTTCTGGCCCGTCAAGACCCAAACACAGAACCTCAAATCCTTAGTGGTCTTGTTCCCTTCTCAAGGTTATAAAGTGGTCACATACTATACTCACTACCCCATAATCCTACTTGTTTGATTATGTGTGAAAAAAATTCCCATTATATTTAAAAGCCACAAAAACACCCTCAAATGCTTGGGATTTGGATTGGCACGGTTGGTTTTGGTTTCATGGTAGTGAGGATTGAACTTTGACCCTCACCCATGCTACTACTGAGCAATATCGCCAGGCCTCTTTTGACTTGAGACGGGGTCTCACTAGGTTGCCAGGCTGGCCTTGAGCTCACTGTGTAGCCCAGGCAGCCCATCCATGACCTTGCATTATTGTTAAGTAGCTGTGTTACCAGGCCCAGCCAATTAACTGACTGTGAGAGATCTTCCATGAACTTAGAAGAAACTGACTTCTGCTCTTCAAAACCGTTTTTTTTTTTTTTTTTTTTTTCTGCACAGGAGCCTTTTAGAAGGCTCTGAGATAAGGCTCAGAGCCTGGCGTGTTCTCCCTGGGATCTGAGGCCATGGTTCCCCCCTCTCGGCAGCCTATTCAGGGATCATCTAGTTCAAAAAGCAGTTTTCTTCCAGGATTGAGCTGAAGAGCACATTTGAAAGACATGTACCACATTCCCTCCGAAGTCCAAGTAGTTCTCCTGAGAGACTGAAGCCCACGTGTGCAAACATTGGTCCCACTGAGCTCTCTTGATTCTGGGACTTCGGGGGATAAAGCCTGACAGACTTCTCCCTGTCAGGATTCAAGTTGCAAATGATTATCAAAGACCCCCGCCTCCGAAGAGCTTTCACTCATAACTGTGTGCTGCAACTTGTAACAACCCTGAGCATACTGTAAATGACTTTTAAAAGTATTTACTAACTTATTGACGGACAAGCCAGGCATGTATTAATATATTATTTAAAGTATATTTTTAAAAGATATGTGTGAACCACAGTAGTGTTCTGTGTGCTTCTACAAACCTCTTCAATGTCCAGGTTAATAGAAGATGCCTGGATTCACATCTCTTTTTCTGTATTCAGGCTGTTGTGATATCTCAGGTCTGTAGCTTCTAGAACATTCTGTATGTGTTCATGAGAGAATAAGAGTAAAAGAAAAAAAATAATGTTGCTATTGTTGTGAAAGAGTTTTTGCTGTAGATAACACGCAGAGGTCTTGGGAAACCTCTGGGTTCCCATAGTCACACTTTGAGAGTGATTGTTCTAATCACTTGAAGGATGTATCAGAACTGCCCGTAGCAGCAAAGTAAAAATAAACATACAGACTCCCTGCCTCAGAGACCCAGCCTGAACCACCCAGTTGGTGGCCTGTTGGTGTCCCACTTTGAATCCATCTGCAAGTCAAATAGAAAAGGCAAGGGCTTCCTGTGTTACCCCCCTGGCCTCTTTTGCCAGAGGCTAGCCTGCCACTTCCCAGAGGCTGAGTAAATGACTCTTCCTGGAAAAAGTTTCAGGATGCTTCATCACTTGGCAGCTCTGGGGAGGGGCAAGGTCAGCTCTGGAACACCCCCATTTCAAAGCTCCGAGTCTAAGGTCTCCAGTTAAATGCATTGAGATTTGTCAAGATTCCAGGCCTCTTTGGGTACCCCACCCCACCCCCGGGGCCACTTTTGAGGCAACCTGAAAGTAATACAGCCTCAGAGCAGAGCTCTAAGACCTATCATCCCTGAAACACATGGAAAGAGGGTTCCCCTCATTTTACCTCTAAGTAAAACGTTAATGCAACACTACACTTAAGCACTCAACACTTAAGTACTTACAAACCTGGCTGGGCCTTGGAACTCAACCCAAGGGCACTTGAGACAGAGAGTCTCCGTTTTGTTAATTATTCTGAGACCTTTCCCCCTTTGTCCCAACCATGTAGCTGACAAGATCTTTTCTCTCTGCCCTGTGTTGTCCGACAGGTTTGCAGCCGATTTACTGGAGCAGAGATGACGTAGCCCAGTGGCTCAAGTGGGCAGAAAATGAGTTTTCTTTAAGGCCCATTGAGAGCAACACATTTGAAATGAATGGCAAGGCCCTCCTGCTGCTGACCAAAGAGGATTTCCGCTACCGATCTCCTCATTCAGGTGAGAGAGTCTGGTTCTGGCATAGGCTCAGCATTGAAATTTGGCTGATCTTTTCCAGACTCATCGAAACCCATGAGACCCTCACAAAAGTTCTCATGGGAACACAGACTGACATTGTAAGAAAGGAAAGATCTACTGGCATTGGCCAGTGTACGGGAAAGAGATTTCCAGATCAAAGAGACTGTTACTTTAGAAGTCACTCACCTGTGCCCTGTCGCTGAAACGTTAAGGGGTCTAGTGTCCAATCAAATAACAAATGACAATAATCGAATAAGAAAGAAAAGAGTTTGGGCATTGCCAATACCTTGACAGAATCATTTTATCTAGTCCTTGAGCTGTTAAATAGTTGCCCCATTAAATGGATCCGGGGTGATTAAAATTCAGAGACACGTTTGATTACTGGACTTGGAAGGACCAATTAATAAAGGAGAACAAACACGGTTCACTTTGTATTCACTCTTATTTAGAGTCACTGCACGCATAGCATTCAGGTAGAGGAGATTTATGTGTCCATTATTTTATATGAACAAAATCAGTCAGGTCATTATCATCTTAATTCATACTATGCTCACTAGACCTGTTTAAAAATAATAAGAAACACACTTTCAAGGTTCCTTTGATTCAGTTAAAAATACATTGGCCAACTGGCGTTATGATATACACTGTAATCTTAGCACTCAGAAGCCTGAGGCAGAGGGATCATGAGTAGTTCACTGAACTACATCTTGAGGCCCTTTCTCCAAGACGAAGTGGTGTGTGTGTGTGTGTCTGTGTGTGTGTGTGTGTGTGTGTGTCTCCATGTAATTTCCTAGATGTACTGGAAATTGTGGTCTTTTTGATGTTCCAGAATGATTTTGTAAATAATTTCTACACTTTCCAACTTACCAGTGTCCTTATCTTTAGAAATACACTTCTCTTACATTTGTCCAGTTTAGAAAAAAATCTCATTTCAAAGCGGAACTGAAAATTAACTGCATGTAGCTCCCCAGACCAACCATCCAAATAGAAGGTGGCTTGCTAGACGGAATGGCTGTGTGGAAGAACTAAGTTAGAGAATCCCAGAATACAAATCACAGAGGACAGTTGCCAGAAATTTCAAGGCAACTGCATGGCCTTGACCAAAGACACACACAGGCTTGGCTCCTTCTTATCTTACTGCGTCTTTGAACAAGGAATGAAAACTGTTAGAGAGATGCGTAAGGAAGTCACTCGTGGCAAAATTGTTAGCTCCCCAGCCGATATATGAAGGTAGTGCTGGCAGCTGGTCCTTCTGTCATGCAGAGAGGTGTGTCATAGTGTGCAATGCACTTGATGCTTTCTTTAATAAACTGCATGTACCCTTAATGGTATTTCTGATTCCTCACACGCTTCTTGCTTACCTTACTTTATATTCTGCATTCAGCTGAAAGTGATTACCATATTATATGTGTTTTCTGATTTGTTCTCAAATACAGCGTTAGCATATTTCTACAAACTGCCCCCCCCATTCTCAGGATATCTGTTTTTAAGTTATAAATATGAAGCTAAAGTTCATGTACTTGTTTTTAAGTAAAAGAATGTTCGTTTATTTGCACAATTTTAAGACTCGGATAGAGGAATCTTTTGACTTCCGTTTCACCTTCTGCGATGTGTACAGTTATCGGCACAAATATGTACGCTGGCAAGTGGGGGGCGCTTTTGAAGATAGAGCCCAGTGAGGTGAGGTGGATCACTGAAATGGATTACCCTTTCCCATAGTAAATGAAGACTTTATAATTCAGTTTAGCTACCAGAATAGATTGACTAGAACTAGGGCCAAGCCGAGTTCAAAGTTCATACTGTCCTATCGCAAGAATGGGCATTTGGGAGTCACCCTCCACACTGTGCCTGCAACCACGCTGTGTACGCTACTGAATTCACAGTGGAATGGCAAAGGTGAGCTGCAGGCTCATTTATTTATTAATTAATCTATTTATTTATTCACTTCTCAACCCAAAATCAGCCCTTCCTTTCTTCCCAGTACCCCTCTCACACAAGTCCTTCCCCATTCCACATTCTCATCTTTTGAGAAGGAGAAGCCCCCCTCTGGGTGTCACATCACCCTTTATTTGCCACTCTCTCTCTCTCTCTCTCTCCCTCTCTCTCACTCTCTCTCACTCTCTCACACGCACACACACACATACACTCTCACACACACACTCTCACACACACACACTCTCACACACACACACTTTCTTACACACACGGTCACACACACACATACACAGCAGGACTGGGCTCATCTTCTCCCACTGAGGCCAGACAAGGCAGTCCAATTAGGGACACAGGATCCCCAGGCAGGCAGGCAGGCAGCAGGCTCAGGGACAGCCCATACTCCAGTTGTTGGAGGACTCGCATTAAGACTAAGCTGCTCGTCGGCTGCATATGTGCAGGGGTCTAGCTCCAGCCCGTGCCCACTCTTTGGTTAGTGATACAGTCTCAGGGAGCCCCCAAGGGTCCGGGTTAGTTGACTCTGTGGGTCTTCCTGAGAAGTCCCTGCCCTCTTCGGGTCCCTCAATCCTTCTCCCAACTCTTCCATGACACTCCCCGAGCTCCATCTAATGTTTGGCTCTGAGTCTCTGTGTCTCTTTCCATTGGCTGCTGGGCAGAGGCAGGCTCCATTCTTAAACCATCCCCAGGCAGAAAGGACCCAGCAAAAGGGATTTTCTGAGGAGCTTAAAACATGTGCCTCCCACACCAGGCATCCTTTTACTTATTTCATTTTCTCTATTTCATACTTGGTCAAAAGGAAACCAAAATTTCTGAGTCAAAATGAAATAGAAGCGAGAAGTGTTTGCAAACTGGGGGGTATGTTACTGGAGATGATAATCTGTTTGACAAACGTATGTGCAAATCATCACCTGCAACGACCACACTTCACCAGTGTTAAGGCTCCACGGTCAACCCACTAACCCAGAGAAATGGCAAGCTCAGGGGACACTCTCAAGCAGCAGATGGCATTTACACAGTAGCCCTCCAGTCCCGGCCTTGTGATCACCAGCAGCCTATAATGAGAGCATTGGAACTAATCACAGCCTTTCACCAGTAATTCCATTCCGAAGAAAAATATCTCAAGGAAATTATCCCATAGTGGACAAAGAAAACGTCCTTAGTGAGTCTATTTATAACAGTAAAAACTGGAAAGAGCCCAACCACCCCCAATATAGCTAGACAACCTTGGAAATGGTCAATCTAACGGGATACTCCATAGCTCAACACCTGACTCCATTTGTTCCTTTGTTTATTTTGTGTATATGACTACCCTGTTGCTGTCTTCAGACACACCGGAAGAGGGTATCAGATCCCATTACAGATGTGGTTGCTGGGAATAGAACTCAGGACCTCTGGTTAGAGCAGACAATGCTCTTAACCACTGAGCCATCTCTCCAGCCCTGTTTATTATTTCTTCATCATGTCATTCAGTGTCTTGCATATGCTCTTCAGGATCTGAAGCAGAGGACTGGCAAGAAACGGATGTGCCAAATGGAGGGCATGCAGTCTGTCTAGAGCCTTGGAACAATGGAAATGATTAGAACCACAGCAGGCCAACCGAGAGAAGGGGCAATCCCAAGAGTAAAGTGGGCAGAGCCTCCAGGCTTGCTGACTGATTGAATGTTAGGTAAAAGGGGGGGAAGATGGGAGAATCAACCCCAAGGTTCTGACCTGATTAGGTAACAGCATTTACTGAGCTAGGGAACCCCTTCTGGTTTGTAAAGATTTCTGTGTTAGATACTTTGTAAATCATTCAAGAGATTGTGGTCCTGGTAATCAGAAGGCTTTGTGACTGGAACCAATCAGGTTGAAGACAAGCAGAGTTTTGGGAACAGATGCAGTTGTCCAAGAGGAACTGGTGGGGATGCTGGGAAACTCGGTATTAGAGGGCTGGAGAAGGGAGAGTTGGGAGGTGGGAAGAGAGCCAGAGTAGCAATCTTGTCAGCCAGGAAGCATCCTAGAAGGGAGGGGGCAGGTTAAGATTCCTGGCAGCGGAAGGCTGCTAAGGTGGCGCTGTTCCCTAAGAACCATGGCTGCCCTTTGATTTAATACCAGGGAGGTGACCTTAGCAAGAGCAGTTTGGGGAAGGCTTCAGAGGGGAAACCAGAAAGCAAAATGAAGAAGTAGAGATGACAGAATTGACAGCTCCTAGGGGTGGTGGGCTGTGAGCTGAGTTAAGAGCTGAGTCCTGACCTGGGAGGGAAGATAAGAACTGAAGGACGGGGAGAAGTACAGGAAACCCCTGAAGCTGCGTACGTACTAATGGATAGAGACTCAAAGATTTTGAGATCAGACTCATTGAGGGGAGGGATTTTGAGAGTCCCAACTATAAACTAGAGGTTTCTATATAGAATTATGTCAATGGAAGGAAAAGGAAACTTCCACACACAAAAGTAACATTAATGAAACTGTGTGGGGGCTTTAATGCAGAAGTATTGATGGCGAAAAAGTATGACTTGTCTGTTAACAGGGGTCATAGCCACAAAAGATGTCATCCAGTCAGCATGTGTGTCTGTGTGTATCCTGTGAGACCAGCGTTTGGTACTATTCCCTTCATCTTGCCAGCTCTGTGGCATTATTCTCATTTTGCACAAAAGCAAGCTGAACTAATAGTGCCTTAAACTAAGAAGCCTAAGAATCAGAAGGAATGAAGTAATTTGCCTTGGCACAAGAGGCTGACAGCAGAGGAACCAGGCTTCAGACTTGGGCTGGCCTTGCTCTCGAGCCCAAATTCCATCTGCTAAAAGAGAAATAAATCATTTTCAGCACCTGATTCCCTTCTAGGAGCATCCCTGGGATAATAATATATATAATATCTAGTAATATCCTGGGACACAGGATGATATAAAAGTATTAGGGCATAAAGCTGGAAGCTAGAAACACTTTCAGTTTCTAGCACTCCTTCCAGAGAAGAGTGAGACCCCCAGCTTTCAGCATCTTGATCTTCAAACCCTAACAAGACTAACAGGAAGCATGAAGAGCCAAGCTCC